TTGACTCCAAAGTGTCCGTTGCTGTCAACTTTGATATTGTCAAATAATCCTAATTTGTCAGAGATTCCAAGTTCCTTTTTTGAAGGTATGGTCGGACTTAAGGTTCTTGATCTTTCTGGTACTGGTGTTAAAGCTTTACCTGATTCCATCTCTAACTTGGTGAATCTCTTTGCACTGCGGTTGAGGGAGTGTAGGAGCTTAAAGTACTTGCCTTCCTTAGCAAAGCTCAGGGCATTGAAGAAGTTGGATCTGTGTATGGTAGGGATAGAGGTGGTCCCTCAAGGCATGGAGATGTTGGTAAGTCTTGAATATCTTGATTTATGTTGTCAAAATCCGAAAGAGATTCCAACGGGAATATTACCTAGCCTTTCCAGTCTCCAGTACTTGGTTTTATATCCAAGCGGCCAAAGTACTATAAGGATAAATATAGAAGAGGTTGCTAGCTTGAGCAATTTGGAGAGTTTGAAATGTGGAATGGAGGGAATACAAGACTTCAACTATCTTGTCAATAAGTCTAAAGATTTTGAAGGTCTTACGGCTTATGAATTTCGACTGACAACTGGTGAAGGAGATATCAGACATCATGGATTTTTTAATGACTATCAACGTGAGGTTTTAATTGTTGAGTGTGAGATTGGAGAAGAATGTGTAGTGCTTCCAGAGACTCTTGAGGATTTGTGGATCTCTAGTTGTAAAAACATTAAAAACATGACATGCAGCTTAAACAAAACAGTTTTGTTAAAAAATGCAACCGTGTTGAGAAGGTGTTTTATTGAATATTTTGAAGGGATAGAGTGCATAATAGAGTTGGACTCCTCCTCCTCCTCCTCCTTACTGCATAAGCTCGAAGACTTGAGCCTTGAAGACTTGCCTAATTTGAGTGCACTTGTGAAGTTAGAAGGAGTAGCAACACCACCGCTCATCTTTTCCAATCTTAAATATCTTACAATAAGATTTTGTTCAGCAATGAGGAAGTTGGTTCCACTTGAGCTACTGCAGGCTCTCCAAAACTTAGAGTGGATTACAGTTAGTGAATGCGAACAAATGGAGGAGATAATAGCATCATCAGATTCAGATGCATCATCATCAAATAAATTCACTTTCACTTTTCCTAAGTTACGGGTATTGACCTTGGCGCAATTAGACCAATTGAAGAGCATCTGCAGTGACAAAGGAGTTATGGTTTGTGATTCTATTAAAGTTATTCAAATAAGTAAATGTCCGAAGTTAGAGAGGATCCCTTTACAGCTTCCTCTGCTTAATGGCCAGCCATCTCCTCCTCCCTGTCTCCAAAATATCGGGATAGATGAAGAGTCAAAAGAATGGTGGGAATCAGTGGTTGAGTTGGATCATCCTAACGCTAAGAACATACTCCAACCTTTCTTGAAATTTACTCCAATTGATGAATGGAGGTAAGCGGTTGATTGATTTATTCTAATTTGAATTTGATTTGTTTTGTTTCTTAAAATTTCTGTCATCTCACCTGAAAGCGGAGTTGTTGACAAATATTCAATTTTTCAGATTTTGGTAAACAAGTCACGTGCGAGCCCAATAACACGTGCCAATAAACCCCCTCCTTCCGGTATTCCACAACGGGGACAATGCAAAAAGTGCTTCTGACATGGGAAAGCCTATGTATTGTGGAAGAGATGAGATTGAGATGGAGATGCATCCACCCTTCTCCCTCTGCTCTACTACCATGTAAGCATCCACATTTTGACTTTGATCATTATTATTTTCTGGTTTTATACTTTCATTCCATTTATATAGAAATTAGATTTTGGGTTTGGGTATGTATGGCTCGCTGAAATTGGATTTTGGGTTTGGGTAGTAACAAAATCGTGGGTGATGAGATTGGCTAATATTTGCGGTTGGAACGTTAATATTTCCTCTTTCATTTGATTTTTTTTTTTTTTTGGTATATTGAAACTTCTCAACATCTTGCAAACCAGGTTGGAGTGTGGAATCAATTCCTATAAGGTCACTTCCTAGATCTCTCGTTGGCTCCAGATTTCTCAACATGTTTTAATGCTCTGCTATTTGTTTGTAGGATCTTTTCCCAAGCAAAGGCAAATTCTCTCCTCGGAACAGCAAAGCAAAGCAAAACAAAATAGGACTGGACGCACACACTGCCAGTAGTCTCTGATTTCATTGACAACAATGTTAGATTTTTTTTTTTTTTTTTACCAATTTATGTCTTTTTTTAGTTGTATTGGATGAACTTGGTTTTGTTTCTTTCGGTAATTTGTTTGTGTAGTAAATTGTTAAGCATGTTATGTTATGGGATTTCTACTCTTGTTTCTATGGTGCTTCATTGCTCCATATATTCAATCTCTTTATCAATTTGAAATCTTAAATTTTTGTAATATGTACCTTTCATATTTGCTTTGCTGGCTTGACCACTGGAGAACATTTCGACAAAACTCCACTGCCTTTTTCCACTCTTGCAGGTTTTTTTTTTTTTTTCCTCCATTTCATTTACTTTTCTATCATTTGCAATCCTTGATTGTTTTAGTTACTGAAATGGAAACAATTTGTGTATATTGAAGTGAACAGCAAAGGGAACTCCTGTCTAAGAATCCATAACAGAAAAGAACTCAGCTCTCATAATTCCTAGGTAGTAAGTTTTTTTACTAAGAATTTTATTTAATTTTCATTATAGACAAATTGATTTTTGGGTATGTATGGTTGAAATTAAGCCCTCTTGAAATGCAGATTTCAGCACAATCGGTAGGCAATTGACAGGAAGAGATCCAGGCTCTGGTCTTTGATGAACTCCAAGTAGTAAGGGTCAATTTTGCTGTCTTCATTCTCTATCCCTGTCTGTTCTTTGACACTTCAAAATTAATATTATTCACCCACAATAGTAATATAATTTGCTTTTCAGGTTCTTAAGCTAAAAGGTTCATACAAGATAAAGTGTCTGATAGTAGTTAGTATCATTTTTAGGTTTCCTAAAAGTAGCCGAGTCTCAACCTTTTGGTGTCACAAAATGTTGCAAAGAGGTGAACATCTTTCCTCTCCAAGAATGTAGTTAAAGTTCACATTCACAAGCCACAAGAATTGAGACACAAACTCATGATTGTTGATGAATTCTTTTGCTACCATAAATGGAATTTTTTGAATTCTATAGCAAAGCAGTAATGTGATAATTTCTTTGAATTTCTTGCAGAAGCTAACCAAGAATTTGATGCCAATAGCTCAGTTCAGGCGTAGAGTGTTCAAGGATGCATTGCAAAGTATTATGAGATGTGTATTCTGGAGTGCTGAATTTTAGTTGCTGAACAGGAAACAATTTTTGTAGATTGAAGTGAACAACAAAGGGAGTTGCTGTCTAGGAATTACTGAAGCAGAAACGAACTCAGCTCTCATAAGCCCCAAGTAGCAAATTTTTTACTAAGAATTTTATTTAATTTTCATTAGTGCTTTATACTTTTTGTCATTATAGATAAATTGATTTCTGGGAATGTATGGCCGAAATTGAGCCCTTTTGAATTTCAAATTTCGGCAAAATCAGTTGGCATTTTCTATCCTTGTCTATACTTTGACCTTTTAAAATTGATATTATTCATCTACAATAGTGATAGAATATGATTTTCAGGTTCTTAAGCTAAAAGTTTTGTACAAGATAAAGTTTCTGATAATAATTAGTATCATTTTCAGGTTTGCTAAGAGTTTCAAAATTTTGATGTTATGAAATGCTGCAAAGAGGTGAACAACTTTTCTCACCAAGAATGTTGTTATGAAATGCTTTTATTAGCAGCTATCAGAATTTAGTGACATTCATGGACATTCCTTAACTAATTATTTAGCTGTTTTGGAGGTGTAGGTTCATTAGCAAATTTATGTGATTGTGCTTCTGCAAAGTTGAAGTCCAACTGAGCACCATCTAATGATCTTAAATTTAATAGGGAGATTCTAATGGTGAAGCCAACAGGAAAAGGATGGTGGTTTTAGATTTGTTAGGTGAAGACAAATATGTAGATGTTATCAATTTAGCATCACCCTATTCTGCCAAGTAGTTGCCATCCCAAAAGTAGTCAGCAAAAATAGGAACAGTAAACAGCAAACTGTTCTCTCCAACTAAGAAAATCAACTTTCTGAAACTGGTATGAATAAATGACCTATAGTACAACAAACAGGATTAATAACTCAACTTCAACATGCATTAATTTTTTGCTCCTTATGGGCCAGTATACATGGCTGCGGGCTCTGCAATTCTTATTTGATTTCATTATGCTTATTCTAGATTGTAAGCAAGCTCGAGCCTAATGCACACTCCTTATAGTTTCATCTTTCAATGCAGGCCTTCTGCAGCCAAGAAGTCTCTTACAGCAGGAAGTGCTGCTCCTAATCTAGAAAGCAAAGCAGGAGACTAGAAGAAGGCAGGGAAAGCAATGGTTTCCAAGCAAAGCAATATCTCATCATTCTTCAAGACAGTTAATTTGGGCAGAATGAAGTTCCTACCATGTCAAAACTGGAGGTTGCAACCTAATTCACGCCCACTACCAAGGTAAGTTATTTTTGGTTTCATATGATTTCATCAAGGCATTTGAAATGTCTTTTTTTTGTCTTAGTTTCGATCCACTAATGCTTTTATACATCTTGAGGAGCAAAAGACTGATGTTTATGGGAGATTCAGTGCAGAGAACCAGTTTGAGGAAATGGCTTCTTTGGTGCAATGCATGATTCCTGAGAAAAAAATTCGTTCATAGAATTCCTTTTTTGAAGATCTTCAAAGCTGAGGTACCTTAACTTTTCTACCTATCATGCTTTCCTATGTTACACAAATTCTTCGCTTTATCCTAATAAATCTACTTTTAATATGTGTTAAATGGTTTGAATGCTTACATTTAAGGAATAACATAGTAAACATTTGAAGTATCTGTGTTAGACACTTGATCCCAGTATTTCAAGCTTTTGGAATGTGTTTTAGGAGTATAATGCATTAACCGAGTACTATTGGGAGCCCATCATACTGGAGTCTAGTTCAAACCATGCAACAAATCACTGTTCAGAGACAGCTGGTGAACCTTGATGCCATAGCCAAATATGGCAAGAACTAGGAAGGTGTTAATGTGAGGTTTGAGAGCTATATCAGTCTAAGATTGATGCTACCATGTAAGTTTTCAGTTTTCCATCAAAGGTTTTTTGTTCCATTCAAATTCTTCTAGTTTTTTCTTTTTTTTTTAGCAGAAATTCTTCTGGATTTTGTGTTGCAAGCTCCAGTTTTTAATTTGAGCATACATTTTGAAATCCAATAGATTGTCCTTTCTTCCTTCCTGGGTTTCAGGTTTTTTGTTTTCAGCTATGGAACCCCAGGGCTTGTTCAAGAATACATTGTGACAACTGCTTTTGGATTGGCACTGGAAACTCGGCAAATTGGTTAAAATCCAACATCAATCCTCCAATTCAGAGGGTCTTCTTCTTGACCATGTCCCCAACACATCTGTGGTATGCTTCACTTGTCATTTTTTTTATTAAGATACAAACATTCCATATCCCAAAATTAAGAAGACGATGGTTATAGCTGCATCTTTCAGGAGCTGGGAATGGAAGCCAGACGGTCACGAGAACTGTTTTGATGAGACATATCCAATTCAAGAAGCATCATACTGGGGAGCTGGATCTGGTCTGGCCATTATGAAATAGTTGATGGTATTTTACAGTAACTAAAGATCAATGTTCCGGATTAGAACATAAAATGGATCTTTGAGTACATTGCTGAATATAGAAGCATTGGGGAAGGAGGACACAGGATTAGAGATCGAGCAATGAATGTGCAACCTATGGTATCATGGCAACCTCCTCTGGAGATACCATTAAGATCAATACCGATACAGCAATACCACAGGGGCAAGGCAAAGCCAGGTTTGGAGTTGTCCTTAGGAAGTAGGAACTGTGACAGCAAAGTTATAGGAGCTGTGCAAAAGAACTCGTGGGTTTCAAGGATCAGTTCTTTAAGATGAGGTTATGGCTCTTGATTTCGCATTGCGTATGGGCAGAGTATTTGGACACAGAAATGTCATCATTGAATCAGATTGTCTTAAAGCCGTACGAGTAGCTGTGCCTAACGATGATTGTTATCTTCCTTTTGGAGCAATAGCGGAGGAAATTCGAGCTAAGAAATTCCATTTTCTTTGTGTGTTTCCAGCATGTAAAGCGTGAGTGTAACTTGCTAACCCATGGGTAGGCTTTAGCTACATTCCCTTCACCTTGGGACGGTGTTGGCTAATAAGGAATGTAGAATCAAGATATTTGATACAAGGTTAAACCCCCATTTTGGTCCCTCAACTCAATAAATCCTTGATTTGATCCCTACTGTTTACCATTTTGATCCCAACTTAGTCCTTCCGTTAAAAATCCAATGACGTGTCATGTTAACTAACAGTTACATGATGACATGTCAAAATAACATGACATGTCA